CACTGATCTCTCATAAGGGATGTCATCTTTTTTCCATAGTTTTTCTTCAGGCTTCCACTAATCAACTACACGGTATAACTTTTTTTTTCTCTGTGGTGGGATACACTCTGATTTCTGCCTAAATACCAACTTTCTAATTAAATGAAAGCTTTATTTTACCTACATTAGCCCTTCTCCATAGAGTCACAAAGAACTGCAGAATAGTAAGAGCCTGGAGGGACCTCTGGATATCATCCAGTCCAATGCCCTGCCAAGGCAGGGTCACCCAGAGCAGGTGACACAGGAATGTGTCCAGATGGGTCTGGAATGTTTCCAGGGAGGGAGATTCCACACCCTCCCTGGGCAGCTATTCCAGAGCTCTGCCACCCTCCATAGAAAGAAGTTCTTCCTTGGGTTGAGGTGAAACTTCCCCTATTGTAGTTTATGCCCATTGTTCCTTGTCCTGTTGCTGGGCACCACTGAAAAGAGTCTGGCACCAACCTATTGGCACCCACCTTGAAGATATTTATATGTATGGAAAGAAGAACTGTGCATTTGCCTGTGTGTGTCACTGGTTAAGGACCTGCATGAAGAAGGCTGGCAGGAGGCTGTGATGTTTTATCCACCTTGTGCTGACCCGTAGATGTTGCTTTCTCTCAGACAAAATATTTACATATGACTTCAGAGGTTTCAGTGATGTTTGAGAAGGCATTGCAGGTTTGATAGAAATTTTGGTGGGAGCAGTATAGACGTAAAGAGCTTTTACTTGTGTACCAATATTTTACTTGTGCTACTGCTGTTGTTAATGGGGGTCCACAAATGAACTTGCCTGGGAAACTGATCCAGTTAAAAATTTTTTTTTTTTTTTAATGCTAGATACTAATAATTCAGATCACTCCTGGCATCCAGTTGGCTGTAGTGCTCTAAAAATCATTGTGTCAGCACAAGTGAGAGAGGCAGTGCTAGGGAATGTTTATGAATCAGCTGTGCTGGGAACTATGGCAAAAACTGTTCCTTTTCATTTTTAATTGCAAGGACCTAGCTGGATGCTGCTTTGAGACTGCTTTGAGTTTTTAATGTCTTTTTCTGCTTTCTGACTCTCTAGATGTGCCCATTGAACAGATTTTGATTTGCAAGCATGACTTGTAAATTAATTCCTGTGTTTATAAAACACGAATTTGGGGTCTGTAACAGGGTCTAACTGTGCAGATAAACGTGTTAATGGTGAAAAACATCTGGACCCAGATGTGGCAGCCACACATTGGTGGAGCAAGTCTAAAATGACTGTGATCTCAGTGTGGGGGTGGCCACTTGTTGGCCAGGACAGGTGCATTTTTGTGCCCCTGCATTTGTAGATAAGTGTCACTGGTAGGCTGGGCTGATATATTTCTGTGAGACCTGCTGGCTGCAGCTTTGAAAGGTGGAGAAAAAGGCTTTATATGGACTTGGCCTGAAATGCCTCAAGAACAGAGCACGTGGAATGCTGGGGATGTGTTTCCATCTTCTGCTTCAGAGAGCCTATAAAGCAGTTATTTGAGTTTCGATAGAAGGCTTGAGATGGGTGGAGTCTTTCTCACTGGTGAATTTTTTTCCCTTGATCACTTAAAACAAACAAGACCAAAAAGTCTTCAACGTGTTTATTCATACCAGATACATCAAAAAATGCATACAAATACATTTTTGTCTTCTGAGTTACCTGTTGACCAAATGTGTATAACACACTCTTTTAGAAAATAAAATTGAAATGTTGCTCAGCATTAGATAGTGCATGTAAGTAGCAGAATGCACAATATCAACTTGACAATTTCCTTAAATTACATAAGCATGGAAAATGAAAAGAGGTATTTGAGCCATCTAGTGGTTGGTATGAAACATTTTAACATTTTTTCATAGAAAATGTAAATTATGTCAGCTTGGAAATAGCATTTCTGATTTATCTGTGTTTTGTAGCATGGCTGTAGAATGAAAAAAACCCAAGCATTCAACTTCAGATTTAAGGTACAGTCTGTTTGGGTTTGTATCTTTTTTTCACTCAAGATTCTAGTGAATAGAGATATCTGATAACATAGAAATTGAATTAGAAGTAAGTAGCCAAAGAAAGCATTTTGCTGGCATGAGATCTTCATAAATTTTGAGAGTTGTTAGAAAGTTCAAAGAAAGGACTGTAATAAGATAATTTTGTTTTCTGCTTCTCACTGAAAAATGTTTGGAGAGAAAAAGAGGCCTTCAGTTCCACCTCAACAGCTATTTATAGCAGGGACTAAATTACAGGAATAATCTTCAGTGCAACACAGGGAATCATATTCTTTGGGAGAAACTTGTCAAAACTGTTAGAGGAAATTGGAAACCGATTTCTTAAGATGGAGTGTGTTCCTGGTGAACAAGATCTTAGGATTTTAGAAAGGACATTTTGTAGATGAAGATTTGGGTAATGATCCCGCTTGGTCCTGATCTGCATTGAGCTGTGGTGGCATTTCATATTGGCTGTTGCCAGTAGGAACTTGACTGTATGTTGAATTGATGGTATTCTGCAAAAGTAATGAACTTTAAGGGTATCTCACCTTGAATTCTTTGTGGGAAAGTACAGCCATACACTGGGACACTGTGATGTCTTCCAACCCTTGTGAGTCCTGTCCCTGTTCAAATGCAGTTTAAATGATATTTTTTAATCTTAGCTTATTAGATATTAATATTATCCACTAACAGTTGATACACGATGATACATATGGATAGGACTGTAATATTTCAGAACAGATAAATTCATGATCCATACAGACGTTACAGAATTTTCACCTTTACATTTGAAGTGAAATATTACAGGTACAAATATTAAATCTTGCCCTGTTTTTTATTGAGAAGAGAGCAGCAGCTTAAGATATTTTTAAGGTCAGTCTCAAAAGACTTAAGGCCAGAGGAGAATGAGAGAAAAGTTGGAAAACCAGGCATAGAAAAAGGACAGAACAGTGATGGTTTATTTGTAGTGCTGTGAGGATCATCTGATAGCTTTATGTGGACTTGATACATAAATTACATTTTGGCAAATCACTTGCATTTTGGTTTTGCTGTGCCTTGAAAGTTGGTTGTTGTTAACCCTTAGCATCAGAATATCAGGGAGATTTTTCTGAGTCTAACTTTATTGGACTGTGAATTCTAATAGGTTTCATAAGAGGAAGCCAAATTCTTTGTGAATTGAAGAGTTTTAGTTGTCTGGCACATTTTTGTTTGAATTTTGCAGTGTGGTGATGAAGGATTTTTGTGATCACTGTTGTTCTCAATCTGTACAATGATCTAATCTTTACTGGGATTTGAAATACCAGAGGGGACACTGGACAGTCCTCTGTCTGAAAATGAGCTGGCTGGAGGTTTGTGAAGAATCCTGGCAGGCTGTATTTTGTAGGCTTCCATGTTGCACACATGAAAATCTATTTTACTTCTTCATTTAAAATGACTTCTCAGTCAGGGCGTTCCATGTGCTCAGCTTTTGAGCCTGACTTCTTGATTTTCTTGTTGCCAGAGCACACTTAGAATGTGTGAAAAACACGGAATACAGAATTGCAGGTCATTTATCTTCGTGATGTCCGTGGTGTGCTTTTGTTCAATTAAACAGGAATGTGGGTTTACAGTAGAATTGAAGTGTCCCCTTCTATTGTTTATGAACTTCCCTGTCCAATCCTCCTGTTGAGATCTTCCAATGCTCTGATTGCTGTAGTGTCTGGTCATACCACAGCATTTTCCTGGAAGCTGTCCATTGCTGAAGCTGTGATCCAGCTGCATTCAGGAAAGGATCTTTGACATTTCCCCTGGTTTTAATTTGCATTTAGAAGATGCAAATGAGGGATAATGAAATTGTCATACTGGGTACTGTTTCTGATGAATGCTGCTCTTTGAATTGTCTTCTGGTTACCAGTTAATTTGTAGGAAAAACTTGATTATAAGTTTCATATTTAGATTTGGTTTAAGTCATAATTAGTATTCCTTTTGTGGAACTCCTTAGAAATTTGACTTTTTGAAGAGCTGCATGCAAGTGGCAGAGACATTATCTTGAAGTGCAGTCTTTGACAATTGAAATTCCAGCTCTTGTCCACGTGTCAGAGATTTGGGATGCATACCTGGTCTCTCTGAATCAGAATTATATGTGAGAAAAGCCTAAAAATGTGTCTTTGACAGCATGTACAATGTCTCCTATAAATAATGGAATTGTTCTGCTCAATAAAAAATGTGCTTTGGCATAACTTTGCAGAAGAAAAAAACAATTAGTTTATTTTTCCTAATTTAGGAATTATGTAATAATTATTTGTGGAACTGAATACTTAAACATTCATTAAATATTGTTATTAATTTTACCTTAGTCATAGTTTATATGAAAAGAAAATTGAGGGGAAATGGATTTCCAGAAGGGGAATGTTTTTTGTTGTTTTGGTTTGGTTTTTACCTTTTGCAAATAGGGGAACAGGAAATAGAAATTGGATTAATGATGAAGAAATCTGATTGTCATAGGTTTGAAGTTGATGGTCTGTATTTTTTGGTATTCAGAAAAGTGAAATCTCCTTAAGCATATTTTCAGATTTCTTTAATTAGTGTTCTACATTAGACACTGAAATTAGAGCATGTAGCTTTGTTTTCTTTTATGTGAGTATAAATTATTGTGACTATGAAATGGTGCTTGGTCATAAACTATTTTTTTTTTCATTATATTAAATTGCCAAAGATTTCCACTCCATCATTTCCTTCCCTGCTGTTGTACAAGTAGAACAGAGCACATCTGTTTCTCTGACATAAAAGTACTTGAATATTGTGGTTACTCTTCTGCCAAAATAGCTCCTTTTTTGTGACCGTGGAGAACCACTGCTTTTTTTTTTTTAGTGTCTGCCTATCTTTTTGTTGTTTCTTTTTGGCTCTTCCTGTTCAAGGCGAATTTTAAATATGTTTGTCTTATAATGGAAATAGAATATCAAAGGATGGATAAAATATTGGAAACTCGCTCTTATCTGGGTTTTAAACATTGTTTCTTTCCTTTACAGAATGCTGCCTTTTTATATGGCCTTGGTTTGGTCTACTTCCATTACAATGCCTTTCAATGGTAAGTTGCAGTAAGCTGACAATATTGTGTGGTGTCCCATCAGTGTGTGATTGTTTCACCTTCAGTTTGGTGTAAGTGTAAAATAGTTTAATTTTGATTTTATTACAGATAAAATTATGTTTGCAGGTGTTACTGTCCTGGGTCAGTATCTTACTGTAACATGCTTGAGGCAGCCACAACAGTTCCATGAAAAGGAAAGCACATCAGGAGGAGAATTTGCACTCCCTGTAACACAGTTCAGCAGTGGGGATGGAGCAGAATGACTCGACAGGCTTTTGGGAATTGTTGTTACTGATAATCTGTGGCCTGGCTTTGTTGGAAAGCCTGTTATAAAAAACCTTCTTGGAAGAGAGGTGGTAAATGGGGCTTGTTTTCAGTTTGCTTGGTAGGCAGAAATTTCGACAGAGCTGCATTAGGTGAGAAGAAATAGGCTCAGATGGAGTCAGTGTTTCAATCTGATATAACAACTCAGGGTTAAAAGAATTGTCATTTCTGTCAGGGCTTTTGTTGGGGGAGGGGGGAGGGTTGGGATTCAGCTGGGGTTTTGGTTTAACTTCATCAGTGATGAGAGTGGTGAATGGAATGGACTCTGTCACGGGTTCTGTTGAAAGGTCCTCAGACTTCTATTGGTGTTTAATCCTGTGGAGATAAGAGTTAATTCATAGGAAAAAAGTCAGAAAGGTGCAGTGTTTAGGTCAGTGCTTTTTTACACTCAGTATGGAGACTGTTAGTACAGTAAGTGTGACTTCACTACTTGATGGATTTACTGGAAGTTCCATTGTGTTACTAAGCTGAGCCTGATTGCAGTTACGGATGCAGTGAGTGGCCACCAACTGATGGCTGGGAACAATGAAGGAGGATTTCTCCCCCCACCTCTCCTTAAATTGTTTCTATGTATCTCTAAGGCAAAAGATTTATGCTTTCCTCAGGATAGTGTACATAAGCTTTTATTATTCAAATTAAAATAAGTTGGTTAAATCGTGAGCTCAAAACATGGATGATTTTATCTTGCAGCTCATGCTTTTCTTTATTGATAGTGGTGAAATGAATGCCATTCATTTGTTGTATTGTACAGGGCATGCAATTCTGCTGCATTCTAATTAACAAGAGAAAAATACAAAAGTTTTCAGAAAGCCTGAGAATCTACTGTTTTAAGATTGTGATGAGACTTCTTTGAATTTTACCGAGTCTCAGAACATTCTAGTTGTTCTACAGTCTTGTCTTCATCATTTAGCATTCAGAAGTATTTTGTGCACCATGTCTTACAAGCTGTATCTCGTTACAGTTTGCCCTGTGAAAATGGTAGATAAACTGTAAGATAAATAAGACAAAGCAGTTAGATTTAGAGTAATTAATTTTTTGAAAAGCCACCTGTTCAACATAGACTTTTGCCATCAGCGGATCATGGTATTTAGTATTTATAAATTAGAGCTTTGAATTAATTTAGGTTTTTCTTCACTTCTTGACAGCACGAGTGTAAGCTGATGTCCTAACTTAAAGAATTGCACATAGAGTTTATATTAAGGTTGAGTATAATAATAGTATTTTCCATTTCATTTATACAACAAAGTTAATGTGCAGTGTGGTGCTAAGGACTTTGTGTATCATTAAAATATTGGGTAGAATTTTTAAAGGAAGAAACTGCAATGTAGGTAAAATCTTCTACTTCTGTGCAGTTCTGATTTTTAATCCCTCTGAGTGCCTTTCTTCCCCTTTCTCTGTGATTTCTTAAGGACGAGGGCAGAGGAATATGGGGTTGTTGGTGTTCAGGTGTGACAAAATCACAGTAGGCTTGCAGATGATAGCAAGTCATTTACAATAGGTGTTCTTCTTTGAAGACCTTAATCCTCCACAGAACTCTCACAGATTGCCAGGAGAGTCCTCTTTCAGAGTGAAATGCTAATCTGTCTTCCTGCTGCATTTATTCCATCTGTTTATGCTCATAGAGGACATGGATCTCGATATTTCTAGCAGGCAGAGGAAGACTGTTCAAGTATTCAAGACTGTTTAAGGTGGTTTATTTATTCTGATTCATCCATGAACTGTTTTTTTTTAACACCACTGCTTCAGATATTCATAGATTTTAACAAGAGGGAAGTACATAGTCCTCCTAAAAGGAAGGGGTGAGAAATACTTGAGGTTTTTTCATGTCTCATATAAACAGAGATAATAAAAAAAGCAAGTGGGAATAGGATCAGCTTTATATTTTATATTATTTTAAAATATATTTTATATTATTTTTAAAGTTTTCCAGCTTTCATAAAAGGATGTGTTGGATTGGCTCCAAGACTCATAATGCAGTTCACTGTAATTCAATATTGTACATATTTTTATATACTAGAGCAGCATTGCAGCATTATCTTAAGTACAAATCTTAGCTGTTACATCATTTTATGTTGGTGATTTTGTTTAACTGTTCATGTAATAATTAGAAGTCTTCCACGTATATATGAATGTTGCAATAGTGTGATCAGACCAATCCTATTCCCTAAGGTATTATCTCCATAAATTGAATTAACTACAGTTTTAAGGATGTGAAATTTTGAGACTCCCTTCTTTTACATAATTTATCATCAAGCAGTAAGTGATTGGTTCATTTTACTGTTGTTTCCCTGTTTCTCAGTTAGAGTAGAAATGAGTAGAATTGTAGATTCTACATTCAGTAGAATGAGATATTCACATAACTTCAATTATTTAATAATCTCCATAGTTGTCTTTTAGATTGAACATTATTAAAGAACTTCAACAGTTAGTCCAAGGCTACCCTTCGTTTCTGTGAAATGCCTGCACCCAGGTGTAGTGGCTTGGCTACCAAATGTTTTTCTCCAGTGAGGATTCTGAGCCTGACTGGTTTATCATCTGCTGATTCCACTGACTTCCATCAAGATGAAAAGATAGAGCCCAGGCTCTGACATTGTGTCCTGAAATTGCATTTCACACCCAGTGTTCTAACTGTGATGCTCCAAGGGCAGCCTCAGTGTTTTCAGTGACCTTGCAAATTGCTGGACAATGTCTGTGAGAAAAGGCTCTGGATTCCTCAGAAATGCCTGACAGGAGACTGACATCAGTCACCCTTAGGGCCCCATTTGGGCTCTTTGCCCTGGTGCTCCTCAGTTTAGGGATTCCTTTCCACGTGTAGAAACTGAATGTTATGGATAACTCAGTCCTTCAGCACTGATCCTGAAAAAAGCCAGTTTTTCCATGATGATGCAGACCCTTTTTCTCACCTCCTTCATGACTAAAGACTGCTGTGGAAAACCAGTCATTACTGAGTAGAACTCTCTGACCCCTCTACTCCCTGATCCTTCCCAAAGCAGAAACACTGTCATCATCTGTTCAATATCTAGATATAAAGATACCTAAAACCACAATCTCTGCTTCTGACTGGGTTCCTCCACACAGAAGGTCAAGGATGTAATGGGGTGTGTAGGAATACACACTGCCAAGTGGAGACGTCTAAGAATTTACACACACTGTCTGTTGACACTGCTTTCTCAAATATTTCTCAGCTTTCAGGTGGCCGGGTCAAATACATATGTATTTTCGAGGTGTATAAAATGGGATTGCACATGTAGAGTACACATGCTCATAGTAACAGTAACCAGTAACAAAGTGGGCAGTTAACTTTCTTTTTGCTGTCTTACCTTGCTGTGATTTCATAGCAAACTACTCTTGGATTGATGAGAACTCTGCTAATGCTATGAAAAAAACCTACTCCCAACTGCTGTTCTAGAGAAATGTTTAAAGACTTTGCTGCTCAAAGCTGTTGCAGTCCTCTGGACAGAAGAGTTGTAGCTAAAGACTGTAAAAGTATTTTATAAACTGCAGTGTCCTGACTACTGCTATGTATGTACATTTTGTTTATGTTCAAACTATGATTGAGTTTCAGATAGAAATTTGTCTAGATAGCCTCACATCACTTTCATTAGTGAGGCTGTGAAATGATATGAGGCTTAGAATAGGTGGTCAGAAAATTGAAGGAGGGTAAGAATGAAAAAAAGAAAGTTTTCACTCTAACTGCACCAAGTGACATTAGAATAATGTTAGATTCTTTTATTTTGTACACTCACTCTGATTTTCATGGGTTTTGTTTGAAATGTACAAAAGTGATAACTTCTGAATAGTTAAATTGATGTTCTTTTTTTATATTCTTTTGCCTAGTACAAAGCTGATTTTATTCACAGTCTATTCAAGCAAAACCATCTAATAAAAGTCTTATGAGAGTACACTAAATGTTTAATATAATCATCTATTAATTATTATTCACCTGGTTTCTTCACTTTGATAATGGTAGGCATTGTTGCATAGATTAGTGGGTGGGACAATAGCTGCAGTATTGATTCTGGCAGTCTTGATTTGGAGATGTCATTTATATTTTTCCTGAATTGCTATAGCAGTACTGTGTAAGATGAAAGTCCAGAGTTGCTTTTCGTTCTCTGTAGTGTCTGTTTTCCAGTATTACTTTCCCATTTTGTTAAGTGTTAGAATGGCCTTTCCTGCCTGTTAAGAGAAATTACCTCATTCTTGGAGAAAATCCTTATTTAATTTCAATAAATTCTAATAGACTCACCCAGCATTGTGTCTCACCAAGCAGGTGTCAGTATCATCAGAGAACAAAAGGAAAGTTTTTTTCTTGCTGAATTCAGATGACTGTAATTTATTTCTGCAGTTTGAGAGCTCCTGGCCTTTCATTTCATATTTTTTCCTTTGGACTGGTGTGTGTTTAGTCTGCTGAAGGAGTGAGATGAGAAATTCTGTCTGTGCATGAAGGGCAGTTCATTAGTGGAGGGGACTCCCAACAGACTTGAGGAAGGCTCTGAGCCATCACCCCTGAAGGAAGCTGTTGGGTCACATCTGTCCTTCTGGTTTTGGTCAAACCATACAAGAGCTTTGAAGGAAAACATCTGGATAACTTGGATGCCTTAGATCCTCCACATCATTCTGGGTGTAGGCTTGGACAGAGAACAGAAATGGGATTAGAGATGTTTGAGAGTAAACAAAGATCTGTACAAGGATCAAGTGACTCCTTCTGTGTCTGGAAGGCCCAACTCTGGAATGGGGGCAGTGCTGCTGCAGATGTTCTCCTGTTTGATAGAAGGGAATGAGTCTGGAGCTCTGGGCATGGCAATGGAAATCAGGCAGAGGTTTTTGCTGTAGTCCATGTTCTTGACATGTCCTGTAATTGTGAGCACGTTGCTATTTTGTTTAAATGCTTCCTGGAGGCAAAATTGCATCAATATTAATTCAGCTGTGATGTAAAATTGCTTGTCTGTCTGTAAGAGTTAATAAGTTAATGTCTTTTCAGAGCTTGAGTATTTTATTCTATAAAAATTCTACTGAGAATTTAAATGAGGTTGTAGTTAGTGAATTAGGCATGAGTACCTACCACTGGTAAAAAACGTTGAAAATGCTGTTTCACATCACTTCATTGGGGAAATTCTGATGATACCCCTTTTCACAGCAGTGGAAGTAGTTTATATTTTTTATTATTCGTTCTTGTCATCCTGGAAAAACTACAAATTGTAAAACCAATATGGAATTGACACTAGATTTAAGTAGAAGGTAAAAGTACAATTTTTAGTTAGTTTAGACTGGGCTGAGATAAACCTTACTCAAAGCTTGGAGGGGCTCTCTGTGACCAGTAGTTTCTGAGCTAAATGTGACACAGTCTTTCACATTGTCTACTAATGATAATTTATGGACTTTTAAAGTCCTCTGAAAGACTAGAGTAGGCAACATTCTTGGATTTTTTGAATGAAGGACAGTATACATTCAAACTAAACTTGAAAACTGTCCTGGAAAGTTTGTTATTATACTTGTAGCTTTGTTTACTCCATTGCTCAACAGTAGCAATGATTAATATTTCCTGTTCAGTAAGTAAGAGACTACAGAAATATTTTTGTTGTGCTCAGATTCTCTTAAACTTTTTTAGAAATACACTTTTTGATGATCTTTTCAATGGGGACATGATACAGGGGAAATATGGAAATACTATTTTCTGACCAAGCAAGGATGGCTAAGTGAGGAACCTGAAGTTTTCAGAGTGTTAGTGTGGTCACACTGTGTGATGTGCTGTATAACTGCTATGTCTTCATTCTTGATTTTTGTCTTCTCTTTGACTGGAATCATAGACAGTGGTTTTCTTCTTTTTTGGGCCTTAGGGTATTGTCTTTGAACAACATACAGTTAATGGATTTTCAATACCAGTGGCTAACATACCTAGTGCCCATATTAGAGTTAAGACAAGAAATGCAGATACACAATAATAGAATCTATCTTCTGGTATAGCAAAAGCCTAACTTAAAATACATGCTGCTATTTAGCCGAGTCTTTGGCCTTTCAATTTGATCACTGTTTTTGCAGATGATGAAGATGAGCACACTGTTATGAGACAAGGATCTTTGTTTGTTATGAATTCAGTGTAGGTATGAGGCGTGTGATTCACCACCACCACAGGATTTCAGGGAAATTTAGAGGAGATGTGAGGGAGCTTAGTTCTGGTGCAGGTTTGTCCCTTCAGCGCTTCACTTGCTCGTTTCCTGTGTGCTGGCAGAAAAGTAGGGTACTGAGCAAGGAGAGCCTTCCTGAAGGATTGTAATAGAGGAAGCTTCAGTTCCACAATAAAAATTTAATACTTTTTAAATCCTATCTGCTCCTAAGTTCTATTTAAAGAAGTCAGATAATGCTTTAGGTACATACAGTTGCATTGTCTAGAGGAAGTTCTGAGCCTTTGGTTTGCTTTGCCATTGATGAGAAAAAGCCTGTAAGAATTTTAGAGTGGAAGTGTTTTTGCTGAAGGATTCAAAAATGATAATTTATGTGTGTTGTGAGTAAAAAAGTCTGTGAAAAATATTTGTTGAATTTTGCATTGCATCTGGTAACCAGCCTTTTGTCCTTATGAATAATACTGCACTTCAAGAGTAGGAATTAAATCAATGTGCCTAAGAGAGTGATTTTAAGCACTGTAGTTTAATCCCTGTCCCATGTCCCTGTGCTGCTCCACAGCAGGTCCAGTTCTCTGCATAGACTGCCCTGTCACCTGCTCACTTGGCATTGACCTGTGGAGGATTTCCTGGGACAGCAGACAGGATTATGTTCTCTGGCCTGGGGGCTCAAATCTACCCTCAGTGGGGCTAGTTCTCATTTCTCTTGTTGCGTGGCCAGTGGTGTATGGGAAGGGATTTTGTTTCAACCTGTCATTGGATTTCAGGCAACAATGAGACTTAGCTTCTTTCTTAATTCCTCTGTGGCTTTAATTCTGTTATCTTTTAGTTGCATTTCAGCTGTCCTAGTTTTTTTGCAGTGGCCTGAGAGGCAAAACAGTCCTGTTTAGAGTCACTTTATTTCTGCTCCAAGATGGAGTTGTTAGATGGCATTTCTGTTTTATCTGGTACTGTGCCATCATGAACAGGGACAAGTGAGAGAGGATTTGAAGGTAAGGAAATAGAATCAGAGCCATCTCCACATATCATGGGAACATGAAGGAAAGTTACTGTGTGAGGAGCTGGCAGGTTTTTATATCTGCATTTGGAAGTAATGGAGCAACTGGTATTATTTTGAGTCCTTGCACTGGTGCTAGGAAAGGGAGGAGAAAGTGGAAAAAGGAGCAGGTAGGTGCAGTGGGAGGAGATGTGTGTGATCTGTCCAAGGCCACCTGTTCTGCTGCTGTTTGGGGGTTTGCACTGCGGGAATCAAAGCAACCTGGCTGTTGTAAGTGAACTTGCACTAATTTTGTAACTAATTTGTGAGTCATCCTCTCTGAAATATCAGATATGTTAGTGTATTTCATGCAGCAAATCAGTTTCTCTAAATTAATAGAAAAGATTAGACTTTCAAATGCACGAGGATATCTGGAGTTCAGAATTACTCAATCCTTGAATTATCAAAAGCCATGTACCAAAAACATTACACGTGAACCATTATTTTGATATGTTCTTCTGTAACAATACTTCCTGAACCACTTTGTTAGCCATATAAAAAACACTGATTATACAGTAATACTTCAGTAAAAAATAATTTTTTTAATCTGTGTTTTTCTTTCAGGGCAATTAAAGCATTTCAGGAGGCGCTTTATGTTGATCCCAGCTTTTGTCGAGCCAAGGAAATTCATTTGCGACTTGGGCTTATGTTCAAAGTGAACACAGACTATGAGTCCAGTTTAAAGGTAGGTTTAAGTCATTTCAAATTGAATTAACATTTCTTACAAGTCATGTGTTGCATCTTAACAAGGAATGCATAAGCACAGAACAGTCACAGACCACCTGGTATAGAAATTGAAGTGCTTTAATGTGGAGTGTCTTAGTCTAAACAGAAGGATAGGTTTGAGGTGTGTGAGATGCTACACTCCAGATGAAAAATTTGGTGTAGGACTCTTGTTAAAATAGTGAACCTTGAGGGAGATTGAGGTTGTACAGAAAGCTAAGGGGAAAAACAAAGCAGCTTGGACTATTTGATTTTTTAATTTTTATATTTGGTTTTTTCCCCCCTAGCTTCCCTGTTGTAAACTGGAAGTTCTTGAAATTAGTAAACTAGAAAGTTTTGATGCAAAATGATATCTTTTTTAATATAATTGTTACTTTTCCAACAGTTAATTAATTCTTTCATTTCTTGGCTTGAGAGTCAGCTTCTAAGACAACAGTTTCTGGCTAATCAATTGGGAATGGTTTATGGTACCACAGCACTTTGTTTCTTCTGTACCTCTTCAAATTCCTTACTATTGACATTCTTTTCTGGCCACTGATTGTAATCTGTCATTTAATCTCCCTCTGTGCAGCACATTTGCCCATGTTTTTCCTCTTTCCATTTTCTACTTTACCCACATGTCCTTTCCTTCCTGGCCTCTAAATTTAGCTGTTACATGTCTTGGAAAAAGGAAGTGTTCTTTTAAGGGAGTTGCATGTGGTGGGAAATACACCTGCAGGGCTGAGAATTTTGTAATTAAATGTAATTTATAAATGCATTTCTACATGTTAATCTTTCCTAAAAATTACTGAAAACAGTAAGTGTTTTGTTTTCAAGAATCTTACAGCTTCCTTTTCTTGGCAGATTGTTTTCTTGGGTTGTCAGAATCACATTGTCCAATATTTGAAAGAGTAGAGTGTTACTCTTAATTTTTCCTTTCAGTTTTTGTGATAGAGGGAAGGAGATCTCTCCCCAGACTTCTCTTTTCATCCAGAGCCCAAGGTTTCACCTACAGACATGGTGGAATTGGAAATTGCAGAGGAGTAGAAAAGATTCCATGCAATGAATGGTGAAAAAGAGCAAGGAGAGGAAGACATAGATCACTATTGACAAAGGGATTATGTGTGAACTTGGGTGATCCTGTTTCCTTACACTTTGGCACAGATTTGGAATATATGATAAATATTGAGTAAAAGAAGTGCTGAAGTACATTTTGGTTTTATTTTTAAAGAAGCTGGGAGAAAAGATTAAATTTACAAGCAAGTGGTCGTCTTGTAATCAAGTAGTAGAAGAAAGTCAATGATCTCAAAAGGCCTTTTCCAACCTAGTTGATTATACAATTTTAATTTTTGATATAAATTGATGAAGAAATAGATAATCTTTTTCTACTGTGCCATAAAATTTGCAATTCTGTCAGTGAGTCAGCTATTTAAATATTATGGATAACCCAATCTAAATAATTTCTTGTGTTTGATGTTCACAAGTTTGCAGAGCAAATCAGTTCATTTACTATATGGATTTTGAGTATATCAAACTTCAAGGTTTCGAAACACCAGCTACAAATGAGAAAACCACAGAAGTAGTATTTTGAAAACAGAAAGAAATTAATCTTTTTTAATGCAAAATTATCATGATTCCATTGCTTTTATGTGGCATGTGGTTAAGTCACTTAAGAAAACAAATGGCCACAACAAAAGCAGGTTACCCTGGGGCAGAGGGATGGTCTTCAAAGGATGGTGAAATGAACATGATGGGTGTGTGCATTAAAGATGGTTTCATGTTTTTCTTAGAGCAATATGACTGCAGCTTGTTCCTAAGTTTGTCTCATTTTCCACCTTGCAATCCCAGTTGCCTCGTTCAGCACTCTCAGTCACATTGAATCGAGTGATTTTTCATTTCTTGCTTTTCTCCATTTGCAGACTGAGGTGGTTCAGAAGTTTGAGCCAGCTCATGTTGGGATTGCTGGGTTGGTCCATCCAGTGCAAGGTTGATGGAATGGGAAGGAGGGGACAGAGCTGTCTTACCCCTACTGGCTCAAAATGTAATGAGAAACTGCTCTGGAATTACCAACTGAGACACCTAAAGCAGAGTTTCTGGTTTGCTTCCTTTGCTATGAAGGTGGCAATTCCTAGTAAAGAATAACAGTGAGGAACAAAAGAAAAGACCCAGCAGAGCTCGGTCTCGAACACTTTGAGCTGTTTCCAGTTCAGCTCAGCTGTGGGTTTGAGGTACAGTCCAAGCACTTAGCTACTTTGAAAACTTAAGTGCTAGGGATTGAAACTTAGTAGTTGAAACACCACAATATGTCAGTTGAGGAAAAAACTAAGTAGAGCAGGGCTGTAGCTTCTTAAAAACCAATCTGATTGATTTAAAAAAAACCACATCTTAAACCAGAATTCTGAATGATGAGAATATGTGAGGCAAGTCAGAAAGTGCTGCCTTAGTGAAGAGAACAAAGTGAAGTGCTGGTGCACTGGTTATGCTCAAGCATGGGCAGAGTAAAATGAGGAAGGGATGTAAGGAAAGAGTGTGAAGGGATGCTTTCACTCTGTCTGTCTCATTCTATGAGATACAGACTGTCTCATCTTTGACCAAAAGAAAATTAAGAGACCTAAAGCAATGAAAAGACAGAGTTGTCTTGTGCCTTTTTTGGTTTGGTGGACCTTTTTAAGAGGTTCCAGGATTTGAGAGAGTAATTCAGTGGGTTGGGATCCAGCCTGCCTGTGAGCACAGACCCTTTTCCTGGGGCCCTTGCCCAGTTTGAGCTCCTCATTCACACGAAGGCAGAAAGTGGAAGTAACTTTTCATCTGGTATTCGCTTGTGACTGCTCTGGATTTCACAGATTGTACCAACCTTGCATTAAAGTACTTTGAAATATCATAATGTTTTTGATGGTATTTAAACATTCATGTTAAGTCTGTAATTGCTAAGAATAAACTATTGCCAACAGATGAGTCATTGTCAGTAAGAGTCATTGTCAGTAAGAGTCTTCAGGCAAAGGGGGAAGATAGAAGTCTGAAGGTCATATATTCAATGTTTTTCACTATTTTAGAGCATTAACATAAATCATCTATATTTTATGTAAGCAATTTAAGCACAAAATTAATTTTTACTATTTTAAGATGTTGATGATCAAGATAATTGCTAGAGTGCTGTTTAACAAGCATAAAATCAACTCCCAGTGTTTTTTCAAAATCAATTACTGGTTTTGCCTGTTCTGCAGTTAAGACTTGCAAATTACTCTATGAATCCTTGACTTTCTCTGTTATCCCATTGCCATAAACTCTTGCAACACCAAGGCTGTTGAAAATTACTTGGCCTTCAGGCTTACATTAAGGAAAAAAAAAAGTGTCCCTTCTGGTTGAAAACAAAACAGTCGGAGTATAACCTGGCAGATGGGGCAGTGTTACCTTCAGAGGTGAGACACGAAAGCTGAATTTGCCCCATTCATCAGAAAAGTACAGTTAATTCCAAAATTAACTGGCAGTGACCTGGAGGATGGATTTATTCTTATATATTAATGACTCTAGCAACAACATGCTACTGAAGTTTACCTCACAGTCCAACTTTTTCAGTTTTCTATGTCCTGCTACCCCTTTCCTGTTCACCATTTCCTACAAAGGACACAAGGAATACTGTGTTGAGTAGTGCTAGGACAGGAGAATAAATCAAGATCTCTAGGAATATAATATATCTTTTTATTCATTGGGTAAATGCAGTTGGAAAAAATACACTTCTGAGTACGTGCTGCATTATTTCTGACATGTCACTCACTGTCATGGTCATTTTCCTATTTATTGAATTTATTTTGTTTTAATTTGGTCTCCTTTTTTCATAGGTGCATGTAATCATCTTGTCTCTCATGTGTGTCTCAGTTCTACTCTTAAGTACTTTCAGTCTTAAACAATTATGAGAAAAAATGTGGGAATGAAAAATTTCAGAGAGACTTTTGGAGGACTTTCCTGTAGGACATATGGCTGCAGAGCCTTTTGAGATCTGGGAGCTGAGCATCAGCTGACAGCTACGGGAAACCAATCTCCCTTCTGGTGCTCATCCTGCTCCGTGCTGTTGCAGTCTTGTGCTTTTAGTGGGGATTTAGAGCCATGATTCTGAAAGCCCTTTGAATGCAGAATTCATACTTAAGGGAAAAAAAGAAATCTTTGGTTTTTATATTTATTAGATTGATAACATTGAGGGAACATTTGGGGGCCAGGGGGCAGATTTTTTGAGGTTTTGGTTTTATCAGGGGAAGCTCTGTTTGCTTTTGTTTGGAGATTTGTGGTGGGGGAATTGTGTGGGTTTTGTTGGATTTTGTTTGGTTTGTGGGGTGGGTTTTTTTAATGGGTGGTCAATAGGAATGCTGAACATGGTTGGTTTATAGCAAACAAAGCAATGTTTTGCTTTGAGAATTTTATTTGGTTTTAATACAGGTGCAGCCTGTACCCAGTAACAAAACCTGCAGAAGAATGAGAACTCAATTTCTCATGTTTTCAATTATCTGCCTTTTAGTAGAAATACTGATTCTGTCTTTCACTTACAGAAATTTTTCCTTCTTTATACACAAAGCAGTTATTCCGGTAGTTTGCTTCAGGCTTATGCTTTCATCTTGCCTGTAAATCATCAATTTAAATATAATTTTAATTTTTTAATTATTCTTCTAAAGATTCTCATTTGTTAGTAATGTTAAGACATGCTGCTTATATTAGGATAAGAAATAGGCTGCAAAAGAATTAAAATGTGCATGAATTGTATGAATATGCATGAAATATAAAGAAATTAAATACTGATGTACCAATGAACAGCTTGAAGTACTTATTTATAGTCAGTCAGACACTTTTCTACCACTTATTCAAATATTTCTCCTGTATATATATATACTTATGAAAGATATTTTTAGCTAGTGCAGCTATTCTATGCCAGCACGTAACAGTTATAGACATATCATTCATGTTTTATGTTCTTTCTCTGAGTAATAGGTAAAC